CTACGCAAAAGCTTCAGATTGGGTGGATCATGACAAGCTATGGATAATAATACGGACAATGTTATTTCTGTAATGGTTAGGGTTCTCTGTCAGCTTGACTGGGCCAGGATTTTTAGAGGTTTAGCAGTTGAAATGTGCTTATCCCCATGATGATGAAACCTAATAAAAGCATAGGTAACTCTATGATGAGTGGCTGTGAGCAGCCAATCAATTAAAAGGATGCTTCCTTGGGGGTGTGGTCTGCCCCGATAGGCAGGAGGGGCTTGCTCTCTCTCTTCTGCTGGAACCTGGGACTCTTATTGTAAGCCATTTCCTTGGTAATAAATTTCTATGTTGTTGTTGGACTCCTGGTGTGTTGCTGTGGGTTACTGTGCTGGACTGCAAAGTCAGTTTGAACTCACCAACCGCTCCTGTTGTTGTTAAATGCCGTCCAGTGGTGTTACTATTGTTACTAAGTGCCGATGAGGGTGCCTGAGGTGGGGGGCAAGGCTGGTGGCAAGTTTCCCCTTTCCCCAGGCATCTTCTCCCCAGATTCAGAAAGAGAAGAAATGTACTCAGCTGGCGAAGTTCAGCACTGGAGTTTGACCAAGGTCTGTTTGTCAGATTCGTAATGGTCAATGCTAGTCCATTTAGCTCAGTGATGCCTGGGATATTGATATTTATGGGTTCCATTTCATTTTTTACCACTTCCAATTTTTCTAGATTCCTGCTTTGTACATTACATGTTCTGATTATTACTGGATTTTGAATTGTGCCCCATCAGCAAATGAAGGTCCTGAAAGATTTGTTCCATTCACATCACTATGGTCAACTCTACTTTGAGGAAGCAACTCCTCCCTAGTTGTGTTTTGAGTGACTTCCAACCTGAGGGGCTGATTTTCCAGCACTCTATCTGACAATGCTCTGGGACTCTTCATCATGCGTCAACATTCAGTATTCCAGTGCTGTCTGACAGTGTTCCATTGCTATTCATAAGACTTCAGTGACTCATATTCAGAAGTAGTCACCTTCCTTCTAGTCATCTTAGTCTGAAAGCTCAGCTGAAACATGCCCACCATGATTGACCCTGTTGGTATTTAACATACTGATGGCATAGCTTCCAGAATTACAGCAACATGCAAGCCAGTAGGACAAACGACAAACAAGTGGTGGTTGGGGAGGTTAGGAGGGACACAATTCAATTCATAACACTCTCTAAAGAGCATGGGTTCTCAACGTACTCTGCCCAGCACTCCTGGGACCATATCTTGCCTCCTGGACTATAAGTAGAGGGGAAGAAGACTGGAACTCAGAATAATGGGGACCGGAACCACAACTCCTGGAAAGGAACAAGTCCTGTAGCCTTACTCTGCCATTGTAAGAGATCCAAACCACAGGAAGGAGACTGCTGGGAGCTTCAGCTCAGGTTAGTAACTGAGCAAAGGGAAAAACTCCTCGCTGGGTCTGGGGACCAAGTTGGTTTGATCGGAAGGGGTGCCATGAGGGACCTCCAGTGCAGGGGCAAGTGTATTGAAGTCTTGAGAGCCCAAGAGGTCATATCAATTGTCCTGACCATGTGAGCAGAAGCGGGCACAACCTTTTCCCACTTCAGTGTCAGACTTTGTCCATTTCTGCCACATGTGACTCTCCTCTGGAAGGTCCAGTGCCCTCACACAGCCAATCTGGAGCCCACACCAGTGTGTGGTCAGGCTCACTTTCTTGGGAAGCTTCCTGATGTAACCAGGAATGAAGTCCCCTTTGTGTTTTAGACCTTGAAGTTGTATTGGTGGGTTGAGGAGTCATGTGACAGGGTTGATTTCAGCAAGAGCAAAATGCTTCAATAATTTATGTTGTTTGTGAGCATTGTTAATTTTGTGTACAGATACAGTTATGAAGAATATTGAAATGTAAGGAGGGATACAGATAGACAGGTAATACAATCTGAACAGAGGCTGCAATAACTTGACAACATCAGGAAGGAAACCAGTATTAAAGAATTTAATGATACAAGGCAGATGATAGATTCCATCTGAATTCTTACGTTGTAGGATTGTTTGTAGACCTGTATAGTATTGAAGCTTTATTTACTTAATGCCATTTAGGCTATGAGTTTATTTGAGGAAATGCTTCATAGTTCACCAGGATGCGTGAAAATAGCAGTCCATTTTCGGTTGCTATGTGCCGTCAAGTCAGTTCTGACTCATAGCGACCTGCTATAGGGTTTCCGGGAGTCCTAGTATGTGGCGCATTGGGTTAATGCACTGGATTGCAAAGTCCGTTTGACCTGCAAGGTTGGTGGTTCAAGCTCACCAGCCGCTCCTCGAAAACCCTATACAGGGTCTCTATGGATCAGAATCGACTTGATGGCACTGAACAACAACAGGGTTTCCACGGAGTGGCTGGTGGGTTTGAACAACCAACCTTGTAATTAGCAGTCCAGTCCCAATTCTACAGCACCATGACTCCAGTGAACCTTTGTTACTGTTGTTGTTAAGTGTTCTGACCCATAGCGACCCTGTATAGGGTTTCCAAGGAGTGGCTGGTGAGCTTGAACCACCGACCTTGTGATTCAAACCGATTTTGCAGTCCAACGCATTAACCCACAGTGCCACACCAGGACTCCAGTCAATCTTTACTAGAGCAGAACGCCTCATCTTTCTCCTGTCGAGAGGCTGGTGGATTTGAACTGCTGACCTTATGGTTACACTACCAATGCTCCTAAAAACAACTTCTTGTTCAGTGCTGTCGAGTCTGTTCCAACTAATAGCGACCCGGTATAGGGTTTCCGAGGAGCAGCTGGTGGATTTGAACAGCAGACCTTGTGGTTTGCTGTCCAATGTTGATCTTATAGCACAGCACCAGGAGTACAAAAGCCAACTTCTCGTTGTTGTTAGGTGCCATTGAGTTGGTACTGACTCATAGTGACCCTCAACACAACAGAATGAAACACCTCTAAATTTCACAAGAAGAAGAAACTCCAACATTAGAACTCACATCCATGCCATCTGTCTTCTACCCAGGAGTCATACAGAATTGGAGGCAATGAGAAGACTCAGAATGACCTTCTGCCTCCATTTCCTTTGTGGAAAGTGTTGAGAACCACGAAATGGTGGATGGGTGGGTGGGGGGACTGCAGAAGACTTTGGCAAACAAGCTACTTAGTCACACTGGCTGAGGTCAAGCCATCCAATTTGATTATTTCCTTTGTAATATTAAAATGGTAATAATTAAAAATGGAAATCATTCTGAACTGATCTGAGAAGCTGGTAGATTTCCCCCTGTAGTCTATGGTAGCAGGTCCCTCCCTCCATGTTGACTCCAGAGGTCCCTTTTAAAAACCAACAGACCACTCCCACTCCTCACCTGCTTAAGTCCCCCTGGGATCCCCCACTTCAAAAAACCAGGTACCACTAAGTCAGTTCCAATAGAGCAGGACTGTGCTCCATAGAGATTTCAAGGACAGATTTTTCAGAAGCAGATCACCATGCCTTTCTTCAGCGGTGCCTGGAGCCTACAACGGTTAGTTAGTTAGTTAGTTAGTTAGTTAGTTAGTTAGTTAGTTAGTTAGTAGCAGAGCTTCTTGACTGTTCCCACCTCCAGTGCCTCCTGGTGTTGTTAACGTCCTTTGAGTCAATTTGGACTCACAGAGACCCTGTAAAGGACTTCCCAGGAGCGGCTGGTGAGTTTGAACCGCTGACCTTGCAGTTCAGTGCATTATCCTACAGCACCACACCAGGACTCCCTCACCCCCAAATTCCCAATTCCTTCCACTTGCATCCCTGGCACACCTCACCCTAACTCCCACATTGTACGTCTGTGCCCTTAGCCCCATATCAGCCCCTCTAGGCTTGCCAACTCTATGTCTATGGAGCTGGTTCCCACATCTTGGTAATTTGGGTCACTTGGGTTCCTTCTGCCCAGATGGCCTTTCTCCCCTTCTCTGTGTGGCCCATGTCACACTGCAGGAACACAGACTCCAGTACCAGAAGTTCCAAGATCCTTCCAGAAGGCCAAGGCCTGAGAGTGACTGGGGGGCCCAGTGTGGCCTACATAGAGGAAATGCCTGCTGTCTGTTGAATTCACTCAACAAATACAGAGTGATTTAAAGCCTCCGAAAGCCTACTCAGGGTTGCTATGAGTCAGAACCGACTCCACGGCACTTAACCACTGCAACCATGAATTGGAACTGAATCAACAACTATGTATCGGGGCCCTCGTGTGACACTATAGGATAAACTGTACTGCTTACCTCAAGATTGGCAGTTCAAACCCACCAGCCACTCTCAGAAACCCTATACAGTGTCCCTATGAGGAGGAACCGACTGGATGGCATTGTGTCAGGCATTCTGTTAGGGTCAGGGCATGCAAGGGGCTTCAATAACAGGCAGGGTCTTGCTCTCAGGGGTTCCAGTAATCTGATGAGTTAGGTGGGGGCAGACTATCCTGAGGGAACAAAGAAATGGAGTGGGGAGTGGAGGGGATGAACTGAACGTTTGACCAGAGACCTCAACAATAAGCTAAGCTGGTCCTGAGACAGCTGGGGCTGGTTTTCCAGAGAGAGGGCACAGCATGTGCAAAGGCCTTGAGGTGGGACCAAGCTGAGTCCCCAGTGGGAACACGAGAAGTGAGCCCGCGGCTCTGTGGCGCGATCTGTGTTCAGACTAGGCTGGGCCTGGCCCTGCAGGTAGGGTGGAGCTTCCGGGTTTCACTTGCGAGCTCGTCAAGGGGGCGCCATCTTCCTCCCTTTGTGGGGGCAGATGCGGCTCAGAGAGGGCCAGCGCCGCCCCCGAGGCCCCACAGTCTGGGCGAACTCTGCAGCAGGCCCACCCCCGTCCGCACGCGCCGGCCACCTTCCGGCCCCGGCGGGCAGGGGATGCAAAGAGGGTGCGGCCTGGGCGGAAGTTGGTGGACCCCGAGGTGTCACCCGGCCCCGCCCCCTCCACGCCCTGGGTCCCGCCCTCCGCGGACTGACGCGCAGTCTGGGCGGGTGAAACCTACACGGCGGCGGCTGCAGGCAGAGCGGCGGAGCGAGGCGGCGCTGCCACCATGGGGGCCCAGTTGAGCACGGTAGGCGGGCGGGGGGCGAGCGCGTGCGGAGACCCCAGAAGTGGCTTCGTGGCGTCCGAGCGGCCCCAGGCCTGGGCTCTCAAGCGGCGCGACTGCGACACAACCGCGAGCGGCGGGCGACTGGCGGGGAGGGGGCCGGGCGGTCAGCGGGCCGGGGGCGCGGGTCCTCCCACCCTCCGGGAGCCACCCGCTCGCCGGACCGCTCCCTTCCCGGACCGCAAGGCCGCACCCCGGGCCGCGGGGACCGTGACTCATGCCCGGGCCAGCTGCCCTGCCCCGCCGCCGAGGGCGTGTGAATGGCCGGCTCTCGGGCGGGGCGCGAGCTGAGCCCGTCCCAGCCCCTCGGAGGGCGGATCGGGAGTGTAATTGTGTGTGAGTGTGAGTGTGTATGTGTGTGAGGGGGGTTCTGTGTCTGTGAGTGTACGTGTGGGGGCGTGCAAGAGCATGGGGGCGTGTATGAGTGTGAGGTGTGTGTGTGTCTAGGTGTGAGCATGAATGCGTGAGTGAGAGCGCGTGGGGGTGAATGTATGTGTGTGGGGGTGGGGGTGGTGGTGTACGTGTACGAGTACTGGAGGTTGACAGTAAAACCAACTGCCCTCGAGTCCACTCACACTTAGCAATCCCGAAGGACAGAGCAGAACTGTCCCATAGAAGGAGAGTACTGTATGGTAAGGGTGTGAATTGTTCGTTACTACCTTTGAGTAGGTTTCCACTTGTGTAGGGTTTCTGAGGCTGGAAGTATTTGCAGGCACAGAAAGAAAGTTCATCTTTCTTCTGCAGAGCTGCTGGTGGGCTCAAACCTCCAACTATGGTTCACAGTCCAGTACTTAGTCTCTAGAGCAGGCATGGGGAACCTTTTCACTGCCGGAATTGGTAACATCGTTCACGGGCCACACAAAATTATCAACATAAAAATTGGCCTCCTATATCTGGTCAGACATTTAATTAACTTTCCCCTAATGTGATGAGTGTGTGGCGCTGTGGTCTAATGCATCAGACTGAAAAGTTGTTTGACATGCAAGGTTGGTGGTTCAGGCTCACCACCTGCTGCCTGGAAACCCTATACAGGGTCACTATGGGTCGGAATCAACTCAACGATGTGGTGAGTCCTGGTGTGGTGCTGTAGGATAAGCACTGGACTGCAAGGTCGGTTTGAACCGAAAGGTGATGGTTCAAATCCACCATCTGCTCCTAGGAAACCCTATACAGGGTCACTATGAGTTGGAACCGATTAGACAGCAGTAAACAACGCGATGAATGGAACTGAGGTGGTCTTGGCAGGGCCAGACCAAGTGATTTCCCAGGCCCCGGACTGGACGTTTCCCACCCCTGCTCTGGAGCCACCATGCTCCGGAGTGTGAATATGTGAACCAGTCAGGCTGCTAACCTCAGGGTCAGCTGTTCGAGACCACCAGCTGTTCCACAGGAGAAAGATGAGGCGTTCTGCTCCCATAAAGATTTACAGCCTCGGAAACCCTGTACAGGGTCGCTATGAGTTGGAACCAACTCCACGGCACATCACAACAACAACAACATGTGAGCATGGGAGTGAACTTGAGTTTATAGTGGGTTTGTATGAATGTGACCGTGTGAGTGTCAGAGGGTGTGAGTTGGTGGGAGTGTATATAGTATGTGAATTGTGTGACTGAGTGTGTTTCAGTGAATGTGTATGACTGAATTAAGGAAGGTAAGGGTGAGTCTATAAGTGAATGGAAGAGTGAATAGATGAGTGAGTTTAGGTGTGAAAATGAGTGTGTATACTGGGTGTGGTTGAGGGTGTAGGTATGTGTAGTGTGTAAGGGAACTGCATGAGTGGGAAGGTAAATGTGTGAATGGAACTGAGTTAGACTTAGGTGAATGTGTGTGAGTATGATGGGGCATGTGTGAATGAGGGTACAGTGAGGGCATGCTTGAGTGAGTGTGTAACTGTGTGAATGTGTGTGAGAGGTTGAGTGTGTGTGCTGTTCCTGGTTGAGGAAGTGCCTGCACATCTCTTAGCAACAACAACTACCGCCTTGCTAATTCGGGCTCTCCTGTTAACCCACCCAACCCTGGGAGCCAAGGCTGTTAGCCCCACTTCACAGATGAAGAAATGAGACTTGGACCTGGTCCAAGTCCCACAGTGCCACGTGGGAAGCCTGACTCTGTGTTATTCCAAAGTCCACCCTCACCACGGTCACTTCTGGGCCTGCCTAGAGAGTCCCTCCCTTCACCGCCAGCCACGCCTCATCTCTACATTTTTCTAAAAGCGGTAATGGGGGGCTGCAGGCTTGTGTGAAGGTCCTCTCTAGAGGGGTCAGACTACACAGCGAACCAGTTCATTATGGTTCTTATGTCTACAGGAGAATCACCTGGGGGTCTTTTTAACAGGTAGAACCTGATTTGGTACATCTGGTAAGGAAAGGCAAATTCTCAGCAGGGTGTCAAA